AATCCTTACAGCTCAAGCTAAATCTATTGATCAATTGCACCATTAAGATTGTGGGAGTTGGTGATTCCCCGTTATTAGAGAATGCTTAATTGCGGTGCGTAAATCCAGCAATTGAGATTCATGAAAGAAGTCAAAAGAAGAAGGTCGCACGGACGTGCTGAACTTCCAAGGATGCAAAGTTTCGTAAGGTTGAAGAGTGTTGTTGGTGGTGGAAAGAAAGAAAAAGAGAAAAAGAGACGTTAGTGATAGCGGCAATGATAACAGGTACCCGCGAAAAAGCAAGAGGGGACGATGGAGATCAAATGGTGAATCCTGGAGATTCTTTATTCTTAACAAGTGATACACAAAAATTTTGTTTTTTATTTTGAGGAGGACAATACCAAACGTGCGTCTACGAGTAAATGTTTGTGCTAGTTAAATTTTTGGGGGGTGCACATAAATTTCCTAGATTATAACCATGAACCTTTTCGAGTATTCCGCATGTATCGCAAAGTTGGATGCGAATCCTTTTGGAATATCCGCGCAGTTCTGAAAACGAATTGTTTTTGTGCAACAGGGTTCGGAACGTGGACCAAAACATTATGCACCTACAAGAAATTTGCATCCGAGTCCGGAATAGCAATTTCCAATAAAATATATGCTGTCACAGATTTGGTGCATACAATTCAATAGGATTTTGTTTTGTTTTGATATCTCACAAGGATGTCACCGGCATAATGTGATGTTCGGGTTTTCTTTAGCTCTCGTAAAAGTGGTCGCACACATTCACCGTTAACAAATGATTGAATGGGGCGCAGGAATTATATAGTAAATAGTCGATCGTGCACCCTGGATAAGGTTGTTAACGACACCAATGAAAACTGTTGAATTAGGTAAGGGCACTCTTATGTCTTATGTCATGATGATAGTGTGATTAGGAAAATTTTCTTCATCATGTCATGTTCCGGTGGAACGACGCTTAGTAGAAGATCAATTTGAAGCTTTAACCTCTTTCTTTCCTTCTTTCCTTTTCTCTCTTCCTCCCTTTTTTTAAAAAATCGTTTCTGAAGATCGCCTGACTTGGAATTTTGGAATTAGATGAACGAGATGCGGTTGCAAATCCGCGCCATATCCCAGAAAAGATCCCTTTGTTGTATTACAAAGTCACAAACGTTGACATGTGGTAACAAAATTTAGTGAGGGTAACATATCTTAGAAGTTGTGGTAAATTCGGTTGATTTTATCATTCCAACTTCTTGGAGATAAGCGCGTCGAACGATGCATATAATCCTGAGGACAGTTTAACAAAATTAATAGACGACTGATAATAAATTTTCCCTTTCTTAATTAAAAAATGGCTGTGAAGAATGATGACGACACAACTTTCTTTCTTCTATCGGAGGAGCAACTCGATCAACTTACCCAAATCCTAATTCCCATCATCTTTCTCTCCGTCATTGCTTCCACAATCATGTCCGCGGTTTTTATACTCATCCGGATCTACTATCCCCCTTTGGCCGACAGGGTTTCCTTCAGGTTAGGATTTGCTACCATGGTCAGTGATCTTTTTTATACAACTTTTCAATTAGTTGGCAATCTCGCGAAAAATGAACCGGGATTCTTGTGTTCGTTCATGGTAAATACCCCCTTTTTTTTTTGGTCCGCATTTATGTGAATCTATACATCTACATTATATTAAAGCTTTTCCCACTTCAAATCGATAGGTCTGGGGGTTGGTCTGTTCCAGTCTAATGTCGATTTTCTTCACAGCATGCATCGCAATTGTAGGTTTGAGGATGAAATGATTTGTATTTTTCTCTCTGATCAAGTCTATTTCCCAGCTGATGGATGATTTCTTTCCATCACAGAATCTCCAAACAATATTCGTTCATGAATATAAAGGAAGGCGTAATTTGGAAAAATACTACTACATCTTTTCAATTGGAATGGCTATGCTACTCTCTTTCCTTCCACTGACGCAAAATATGTTTGGATTTGATGTTCCCGAACAGTATGTACATTCCTATACTTCGTGTGTCATATTCATTGAACTTACGAAATCTATCATTTTAGGGTCTGTTGGTACAAGGATTCCGGAAAGAAATACAATTTCATATGGCAATGGGCAACTTTATTTGGATGGATAGAACTGTGTGTAGTATATTGCGCCATAATTGTAATTACAGTCGTGATGAAGCTTTACTTTGCCGCCAGTCGATTTGAGAAAACGCTTGAAGTTCTGCCTATCACAGACCCTTCAAAAAACGAGCTTAAAAAATTTGCGAAAAAAAGTCCTACGATTTCCATGGTGGTCAGAAGGGTGCTCTGGTATCCGGTGGTGCCAATAATCACCCAGACTCCCAATTGGTTAGTCGAAACTAGCATTTATCTTCATCAAAGAGCTTCCTATTCTATGTTTCTTGTCTGCTTCGTGGCTATTGCAATGCAAGGTATTCGAACTGTTAACCATTTCTATCTTCACACCACATTACATGACTAATCAGGTGGATTTTCGTAAACCTTAGGTTTACTAAATGCTTTAGTATTTTCCCAAGACATTGCGGTAACACGTGCAATCCAATTAAAAAAACTTAATTGGTGGTATAATTATGTAAACACCTATGAACAAAAGTATCCGCGTTTGTCAAAAAACAAACGAATCGAATCTCCTAAGAAATTACGCACCGACTCGAGTGATAATATTCTTCCGGAACAATTGTCGGAAAAAATGGAAATTGTCCGGAAATCGGAAGGGTCTGAGAGTGCATCCAATCCGACATTTCTTGAAAAGCTACGCTATATATTGTTGGTCAAGTTATTTTCAACTCCCGAAGAAATTGACCTATTGATCTCGCTTCAACATACACTTTCATCAATCGATGAGACGAAATCTGAACCAGAGGAAAACGCGAGGAAACGAAAATTTCTTTCTTTACCTGTGCCAAAAGAAGCTCTCATTAGAAACCAGAAATTTCTTTCCTTACAAATGACATCCCAAAAACCTTCCACGGATCCTGAACAGGAACACAAAATATCTTCTGATTTCTCAAGTTCCCCTATAGTTACTCCTAATTTCCAAGATTCCAGCAGTGATCACATCAACCCACCATCAGAACCATCGACCTTTCGCACTAACAATACCTTCCGTCACTTAATGTACACAGATCTACTAATGGAGTCAACTTTTCACGCTAAAAAAGCTTTCCGTCACTCAACGATCGGAGCCGTAACTCCTAATTATGCATTGATTGGTGATGAGAATCCATTGCCAATGTCAAAACTCCTACAATCCCCTAGTTTGCGAAGGAACAAAAGAGCATTGAATATCAACTCAACAAAGTCTCTATCAAACGGACCAGGTTATCCCTCAGTTGCAAAGAAAACCACAGATAGAAATAATCGAGGAACGTCCTTGACGTTTGATGAAATAAATGAAGATTCTAATCAGGAAACACAATCACCTCCATTTACCCAAATGTTTAATAAGCAACCATCATTAGAATATATCCATGTTTTAAAGATGTTATAGCAATTTTTTTTTTGATATAATTTATTAAGGTGTATATATAGCTAAGAGCAAAAAAAAAAAAATGTGTAAGCCATTCCTGTGACTTATTTATTACTAATTAACAAGCATCGACAAAAGCCTATACATAAGGTTGATAATGAGTAAAATCAAAAATGTCGACTGAAGCAATCAGTTCAATTACCTTGAAGATATGCAATTTTCTCCATGAAAATATACGGATAAATCCGTACTGGAAAAGCTGAGGAAAATGATGGTTCCCCTCGGAATTTACCCCAGGCATCTTGACCTTTTGCAGAGCCAGAAAACAAGAGACGTCAGCATACTTGCATTCTATCTTGGGATACAGCTGGCATTTGATAGGCTCCTTTGTAAAATGTACTTGATTTGCGACAAAAAATCAGTTACAAAGCTGAATTTAAAGCATAGAAGTATGTTTTTGGTTATCATTAAAGCTGCAAAAGTGATGTAAATTCATCAACGGAAATAACATTTAATTTCCCTTTTGTCATTTTAGTGCCCGTTGAATGCACTATTTCCGAACGATTGTCAAAAAATAAATATACTGTATTTTCTACTTCGCTATATATGATATATTTGATTATCACTTGGATAAATATTACTGCTATGATATTATTACTTCTTTTTCGCACAGACCTTTCTATCTTTATGACAGTTGAAATTTCCTATCACCAAAGAAATACAATAAACCGAAATTGAGGTCTGATTCATGATATGCCAGTTTAATAATTATTGACAGTGTCCACAATATAATATACTAATAATCTTTTTGCGAAATTATTAAAATCTAAATATGCTGAAAATTATTGTTATTATCAGTGCCTTTTTATATTATATTCAAAAATAAACATATAATTAAAACCAAATCAATCTAATCTTATTCATAACATAGGTTTTTGTTTTTTATGTTACATGATTTTTCTAAAAAAAAAAAAAAATGCCATCATGCAGTATATTAATTCAATTTGAGAAAATGAAATATATGCCAAAAATCAATAAAAATGATTTGTCAAGTTAAAATTATTGTACATGATATAACATACAGTATATCATTTCTAAAAATAATATAAATTATATAAATAAAATTTAAAAAATAAAAATTCAAAATTTCATTTTAAAAACTTGTATTGAAAATTATTGTGTATATCCTATATACTATATATACAGTGGTGTTTATGAGAAATGACAATCATAAATTTGGTTATGACTTTATAATTATTGATTTAAATTATATAAAATTATATATATATATTCTTTAATACCTTAAAAACAAGTTTGTTATAAGATACTTTAATTGATTTATAATTTTTTTTATTTGAATTTTTCTTTTTTAAATAAAATTTTTTTTTTCAATTTAATTACAAAATTATATATATATAATTATATATAAAAACTGGTTGGAAAATAAAAAAAAAATTTAATATTTTTAAATATCACAAATATTTTTTTTACAAAATTATTTTATTAACTAATTTAGTAAAATTATTGATATTTAATATTGTACAAATATTGTTATAAAATTATGTTATTGATTAATTTAATAAAATTATTAGTAATTAATTTATAATAAAAATTTTTATAATATATTTTTTAATTTGTATTTTTAAAATTTTTTAAAACTTTAAATAAAAAATAAACATTATTATATTAAGATTATTTAACAAATAAATAAATATTTTTTATTATTATACTTTAAAAATATGTTTTATAAAGTTTTTGATATTATTTATATAATTTTATTATTTATTTATTTATAAAAATTCATTTAAAAAAATTATTATTATAAGTCTTTATAATTTTTAAAATTTTTTTGAACCATATAGCACTGCTACTTAAATTGATATTGTTTATTTTGAAATTTTCAATAAAGTATAGTAGAAGAGTATTCTAGTGTATAGTTTTATTTATTATTGATTTGGACTTGGGCTTGACTAGTTAAAGATAAACTAATTTGTAAGTACTTATACTAATAATCCTTGAAATTATAAATGTATAATTAATTTTGACTATTTTTTTTGAACTATCAGAAACCTGTTAAAAGATATTTTGATTGTTTCTGTTTGATTATTAATAAGACTGAATACTATTGGATAATATCATAAGTTATTAGAAGAATATTAACTATAACTATACTTGAAGTAAATAA